TCATCAGCGGTCTTATAATCTATAGAAACAAGTTCTACCCAACAGCTAAAATAATCCATAACTGTTAAATAATCTTTTCCAGCATGAGTTAAAAAGCACAAACCTTTTCAAAAGGCACATTGGAACGTTCTTGTTGAATAAGTGGCTCTATTGGTACACTTCTACTATATTTCAAACAAGTTTTGCATTTTGAGACAAAGTTTTGAATGTCAACAGACATTCCTGGCCAGCAAAAAAATTTCCTGGCCCTAGCTTTAGATTTTTCTACCCCGAAGTGACCTACATGCAATTTATTCAACATTTGTACCTTAAGCTTTATATTGTGAACAAGCATACCTTGACTGACATGCAAATTGTCTCTAATATTAAAATATTTCCTCAATTCAGGCTCATATAACCTAATAGGCCATGATGTTTGGCAAAATTTGATTACTTTTGTCAAAATAGGATCCTTCTTTATAGTAGAACTCAACTCATGTAACCTTTGCTCAGATATAGGCTAGTCAATTTCAACAGTTTGCACAACTTCTCTCATTTCTTCATCATCTTTTAATTGGGTTTTGAGATAGGATCTAAACAAAAGATCAGCAATATACATAGGTTTTCCAGGTAGGTAAGTATTGAATTTTAAAATTGTATTTGAGCATTTTTAATTTTAATCTCTGTAGTCTAGCAAAAACTTTGTTTATATTTTTTTTTGTTGATTGAGACTAACGGTTTGTGGTCAGACTTATCCACTATTTTTTGTCCATATACAAATTCATGGAACCTTTGTAAGCTAAATGAAATAGCTAAATATTCCATCTCAATTTGTGCCCACCTGCTCTCTGTATCTGTTATGCTATGTGAGCAAAATACCACTGGTTTTCCTTCTTGCATAAGGCAACCGCCAATGCCACTATGACTAGCATCTGTTTAGATTTCAATGAGTAATTTAGGATCAAAAATTTCAAGAATATCAGAGATTATGACTTTTATTTCATTAAATTTTTTGGAGTGATCTTTTGTCCATATGCATTCAACATTATTTTTTATGAGAATAATAGTAGGTCTGAAAGTTTTGATAAATACTTGGATAAATAGTTAAACATACCTAGTACTCTTAATAATTGCTTTTTATTTTCAGGTTCATCCAACATTAAAACTGCTTTCACATACTCAGTGTCTGGTCTTACACCTTCTGCAGAGAAAAACTGGCCAATATAATTGACTTCCTTTACTTTATATTGATCTTTTGATTTATTGAATTTTACACCACACCTCAGCCCTAATCATAACCTTCCTGAGAATTCTAGCATGTTGCTCTTCTGTACTTCCTGCTATTATAAAATCGTCAAAATAAATACCTGGATAGATCTGCAAATATGTTTTGATTCATTCTTTGAAAAACCTCCGGACTCACATTCAAACCAAAAGGCAACCTATTAAAACAATATTTTTCGAAGGGTGTTATGAAGGTACACAACTTTCTCCTTTGACTATTAAGCGGAACATGATAAAACCCTTCTTTCAAATCCGAACAAATACGAAGGGCACCCGATGGTTTTTCAATAATCACAATGTTATTTACCCCACTCCGTAGGTACTTCAACTTTATATATTATTTCCCTCTTTTCTAAATCCCTTAATGTTTCTTTTGATTTAGATTTCAAGGCATTGGGGACCCTTCGACAACCACTGCTGACAGGCTGAGCATTTTTATGTAATACAATTTTGTACTTATGAGGAACTTTACCTGTACTTTCAAATTGTTCTGCATACTTTTGAAAGAATTCTTGCCTTTCCTTGCATGATTCACTTCTGATAGCATCAATTTTTTTAAGTCCAGTTTTAGAACATGTGTTTAGACATAAAATTGGCACACTGTTGGGACATTTTATGACTATAAACCTTATAGCTACATTGTAATATAATATATCCCAAAGCTTCAATTTTATTGTTGCCATACGTGTTAAGTAACACATAATCATTCACCAGCTTAGTTTTTTAACAAATTTTAAAGGCAAACAATTGCATCAACTGGCACCTGAGTCAATTTCAAATGTAATGAAATCATTATCTATCAGTACATCAACTGTCCAGACACTTCTTTTCCGACCAGTACTTACATAATTTATTGTTGTCAGTTGTCACTGGCTGAATCTAACATATGTCCCTCCCCTCCAATTCATGAACCTCTTTCCTCCTATTTCCTTTCGATGCAGCATTACCATTTTTCCTTCGGTATCTACATCCGACTGGATAATGGTTCAATTTTCAACATCTGGAACAAGTTTTGCCAAACGTAGGACAGCTTCTTGGTCCATGTTTCGAGCCACATTTAAAGCAATCATATAAAGTGGTCGGGCTCTTAAAACTTACTGCTCTACAACTTTCAGCTGCAAACTTACACAGGATGCGGCACCCCAACAGTAATTTTCTGTCCTACTAAGGTTTCTAGGGTCTTATTACTTCTGACACCATGTTATGTTCTCAATAATTATAGTTTTCGTGCTCAATAAAGACCATTAGTTATTTTATTAAACGTGTTTATTAATTAACAAGTCTACAATGATGCACTGTTCTAACTGACATGATATCCCCTCTGCCAACTGTCATAACCTAGGATACAAGAAGTGGTAAGAAAAAGGATAAATGTTTCCAAATAGGTCTGATCCACTCAACGACATCTAAGTGGCATAAGTATCAATTATTAGGATGATTCCTCATAATAACTTATGGTTTATGTTACAGCCATATTGTCAAGCCTAAGCCTTGAGATGATCTTGTTTGAGCAAAGGGCTCGGAGTATTGCCTGACTGTCGCTACATGTATAAATATGCTCGGGCTTAGTAACTTCTCTGAAGATTCTCCTAAGCACACACCTGTGTGGCGTAGATCTCAGACTAGTATACCGTTGGGTATCGATCCAGTGCAAGAATGATTCTCGACACAGGTCTCTCCCTATATACACCAGCCAGTGCAAGTTCTCCCATCAGAGACTCGTCTGTGTACAAGATGAGGCCCTTCGGCTTGAGGAAGCTTGGGCCAGGCTCTAGAACGTTTTCCCTTGCAGGGATGACGATCTTGTATTGCCTAGAAGGGGCTGAAGTTTTTGACATTGTATCCCTTCTTGTGAGAAGGAAGTCGTTAAGTCTGACTGAAGCCTCCCTCCACGAAGAGATGAAGAGGCATTATTTCCAGTATGGCCTCTATTGCCAGTCACTAGGTGTTGACGTGATCTTTCCAGATCAGCCTGGAGTCAATGAAGACTCTTTGATTTTTGACCGAACCGGATGGAGCAAGTTTCGAACCAAAAGAGCCTGAGCCTTTCCAGTTCCACGTTTCTTTGCTTTGTAGATGGCACCTACTACTTCGGTCTGGTCCAGACTTACCGAAAGCTCGAGATTATTATACCATGTTTCAAGCTCTTTACATGGTCACTTTATTGGTGCTGGATACCCTACCAGTCACGACGATGATAAGATCGTTCGCGTAGCCTTGAGTGAACATTCCTTCTTCCTTCACATACCTAGTTTACCCTGTAGTAATACAACTAATCTCAATGCAACGATTGTCTGTGACGCGATTTTTCATGGACTTATTTTGCGTTCTGATCAATGTATTCTTTTGCAACATCATTTTAAAAGTCCCACTGCCTATTATTTAACATGAGAAGTAAAGATGTAAGACCTATAGATTGACTATTATGGAAACTTCCTGAACTATCCTATTGATTTCGCAGATTAAACAATATCCTAGTAATTTTAATGAATTGGTCAGTTTACATCCAGCAGATGCTATAAAATCACATTTTCTAGAAAATTCTCCTTGTGCGAAATAAATGAAAGCAAATTACATGTTCAACATGATAAAAGCATTTATAATTATTGCAACTGCAAAAGTAAACGGTTTAATTTTTAATGAAGGTTACTGGTAGGTGAATACATTATACAGAGTGAATAGGATTAATCCTATTTTGTTCGAGTGAATCATTATAATAATACAGTATAATATACCAAATAGCCATTATTTCTAACAAACGAGATAAAATATTGCAATTTTAGAAAGCGTAGATTAAAATCAACTAACATAATATGGTATTAAAACTGTCATTTGGAGCAGCGAATTTAACAAAGCATATTATTACGTTTCACCGATTTGATGACGGAAAGTTTTTATTTTCTCAGTGTTCCACTTCATTAGTGTCAACTCAAATTGTATTTTCTGGCTGATGTTTTATGGTTAGTTGATAAATGATCGCCGACACAAAAAAACAATAAATTTTAGAACGATTAACCATCAAACAAAGAAATCAGCCGAGAAATTTCTATTAATATCCTGTTTTTTTCTGCGAGACATGGTACAAGGTACCACCGGCTATTATTGTTGACTTAGTATGTCGTCCATTTGTTAATTGATTAAAGTTTCTAGATTTTGTATAGAATTTCTGAGGTAAAGGTCAACAATGACCACAAAATTAATATCCCAGTCATGAGGTTAGTTAATAAATTTAAATTACGTATAATCAATGTGTTTTGGTTTTTTACTAATTAGCTGCCAATTTGAAGTTATGCAATTTTTCCGCAGTGCTTTGAAGGTGGATTCTATTAAAAACCCAACCACAAGCTTTCTGCATATTAATTATCATTATTTTTCTTAATTTGCACAAAAATACTGAACCTTGAAAATGGGTGTGCTATTTGCTTGCAAAATCCTAAATAAATATGTATTTTTGCTGGTATTACATAAAACATGAGAACAACAAAGAACCATCTTGACCAAAATAACGAATATAATGACCTTCATGCAAAAGCTGTGAAATCCCAACCATATTTCGTAAAAGCGTTGTAAAAGCCACTCAATCTCAAGACCAATAACCGCCACTCTGTGGGTTTTTTTGTATGTGAACAATCAATACTCTGTATGAATAATGAGTTGCACAAAAACGTCAGTCCTACAACATATTTTCACAACAAAAATTGTTGATCTCTTTTAAATAATATCTTTTCTTGTTTTAGGCCTATCACAGACCACAAAGTTCAGCAGTTCAAGTAGCAAAAATTATCGCAGTAACCGTAGTTGTAGTTTCCTTTGTGCTAGGCTGTTTCATTTTGGCCTCCGCTTACGTCACAGCTACATCGTCTTGTAGACAATTGGAACAGGATCTGGAACTACTCAGTGAAGTTGCCGATAGATTCGATGGACCTAATGACGCACCGCTACAGCCTCAGGCTTTGGTACAGGTAAGAATCCTAATTTTACATTTAGGAAAGTCTATTATGGACTTTCTCAAGTACTCGATGTACGCGGAATTAGGAACATAATAAAGATATCTTTTGTATTTTTAAGGCGACTTATATTGGTATAAAATACTCATTAATACCTACCAAACTAGTACATCCGCTAATTATATTATACTAAGTTCCAGTTTAATTTATGGATATCGATATCATCTATAGACTAACGATCCAAATTGACGTTAACACAAAAAGACAATAGGATATATATTTTTTTAATTTTAAACCTACTAACAATAACAATTTAAACATTGTTCCTAGAACTAAGAGCTTATGTAAGTCGAACCATTAAAAAACCAGTTTCGCAAAGTAGTTAGTCTTCAAATTACAATGTTTTTTTTCTCACAACCAGAGCTCTAAAATTAGTTTAAAAATACAAAGTCCAGTTAATGGTATTTTTCTCGAACTAATAAGTACAAATATCTGTTCACAGATGAAAAACTTAGTATGTTTTTAGGCTTAGTGTTCTTATGCTTTAGCAATAAGATTTTTTTTATATTTTATTTTTTTAAATGGCAATTCCACTCATGTATAAATAATCCCATTTGAAATGTCAAAAATCGTAGTTTGCTAGCGGATAAATAGGAAGGAAGAGAAAATATAACTGGATAAAAAAATCGGATAAATTTTCTGTTGATGCAATCGTTACCGGAGTAACAATTGCATATAAAATTGGTTTTTGAATCATCTGTCAAATAATTGTCACAAAAATTCAAAAGTTCTATCATTTAAGCTTATTAACAGTGTATTTTTAAATAAAATTAAAAATATTTTCAACATGCAGCGATTTGGGACAATTAAAGATGAATTAATAGCGAAATAGAAAATTAAATTCCTGAGAACACAGAGTCTTCTTCTCTTTCTGTAGAGTCAAATTTTAAGGGGCAAAATATTTATTCTAATTGTACCTTCAATAACTGTTCATTTCAAAAAGTATTTCCATATTTTATTTTGATTATGCATTCGTGGAATTGCCGTACTAAATACCATTCGAGCTCAGATTTTGAGCAGGATATTTTTTTGCTTGCTCTCTCATACTTACTTTCATGCAATTTATCTCGATCTGTTCCACAAAATCACTCGAGCTGCGCTCTCGTGATTTTTTCGGAACAGCTCTCGTTAAATTTCCTAAAAGTAAGTATTCGAGACCAAGCCAAAAAATATCCGGCTAAATCTGAGCTCTTATGGTATTACCTACGACTATTTTGAACCCATAAGTAGTCTCTTGTAGCCTTAAATCAAAATAAAATCTAACAATAAGTATATTGATTAAATTTTTGATAATAGTAATCCAAAAGTAGGTTTATGCGATAGGACATTGTTTCCTATGAAAATCATAATAGTTGCAGAAAGGCTTCAAACAATGTTTTCAAATAATTCGAACGTGACGAGAATAATAATAATGATTCAGATACGTACAGAATTATTTTTTCGTGAAAGTTCGATCACCTCGGAAGTTATGAAATTTGAATCAAAAGTATTATGTAAGCTTGATTTTTTGCTACCCAGAAAGCGGTTGACTGGAGACCTAAGAAACCTGATATAGTGGTTTTTGATTTGGAACGACAGTGAATATGCAACATACGTAGGATTATAATGATTGAAATGATACAGAGTGGATTATGTTTTTGATATTGTTGTATGTCCGTCTTTTAGCATATCTTCCTCAGAATTTTAAATGTGTCAAGTAAAACGGCCTTTTGAAAATTATTTAGGATTTTTATTATGTATATTGATTCGTTTTATTTTTTTTTGTTCCTGTTCATTTTCTTTGTTTTTCTATTCTTTTTAGTATTTCCTCTAATGAAGTATTTTCCTGGTTTTTTCATTGTTCTTTTTTTTATGCTTTCATTGCTTCTCATTCTAGTTTTACTTGTTCAGTGTTTAACCCTTGTTTCAGGTAATGAAGTCTACCCTTCAAGTTCGCAATTTAATCCGCAAAAACAAATTTCCACAAATTTTCATTTTTGTTTTTGAGTTTTCGTCTTCTTCTGATCATGTTCTGGCAACATTTAAACTAATGAAGGGGTTAAAAAACACCAAACTACCTGAGGAGTGGAACCATTACAGGCACCAACTCAATCACAAAGAGATGCCTGGAGGACTTCTTCTTCTTTCGGTGCCGTATTTGTCTTCAGACGTGAACCATCTCTATGACAATCTGGTTAAATTGTTCTCTATCTGTCGATACTCGGAATAGTTTTTCCACTCCCAGTCCGGTCCAATTTCTAATATTTTGTAGCCATGACAGTTTTTTTGCGACCTATCCATCTTCTGCCCTCAACCTTTCCCTGGATGATCAGGCGAAGGATGTAATATTTGGTGCTTCGCATTATATGTCCGAAATAACTAACCTTTCTTATTTTTATGGTGTTCAGAAGTTCTCGGTCCTTATTCAGCAATCTTAGTACCTCTTCATTGCTGGTGCTGGTATGTGCGGTCCAAGGGATTTTCAGGATTCTCCGATTAGATAGCATCACATTTCAAACGTTCCTCAAACTCACCTCATGCAAAAAAGTATTTCACGCGTTCCCAGCCCGTTGCGGAATCCAAATTGTTCCCTGTCAATATTGTGTTCACATTTGGTGTATGTTCTATTGAGAAGTATCTTTAGGGGTCTTTTTAAAGTGTGACTCATTAGGCTAATTAGTCGGAAGTCATTACATCTATTATATTAGCTTTGTTGGTTTTGGGTAAGACGATAGAGATGGATTTCTGCCAGTCATCGGGAAGTTTCCCAGTTTGGTAAACCTGGTTGAAGAATGCCGTCAGAATGGATATGCCTTCATCATCGAGTAATTTTATTAGTTCTATAGGAATTTCATCGGATCCTGAAGTTTTTCTTGCTTTTGACTAGTGTATTGCCTTTTGTACTTCAGATTTGAGAATGCTTGGACCGTGGTCTGTCATATAATCAGTCAATAGATTCTCTGGTGTTTCGCAAGTCTCGTCCTCGAACAGTTGTTGAATATACTGCTGCTTTTCATTACCCTGATCTTCCTTTGTTAACAGTACCTTTCCACCATAGCATTGTTGTGGTTTTCTTTTTGTATATGCCGGAAAGTTCTTTTATCTTTTTATGTAATTTAAAGTCATGGTCTGAAGCTGCTCTATTTTCTTGCAGGATTCCCGAAGCCACCCTTCCTTTGCTTCCCTAATTTTTTGCGTATTATCCAATGTATTCTCTTGTAATTATGATTGTTGTTTTTGTGTTTTCGTCTCTCCTCCATAAGGTTCAATATGCCCTGCGTCATCCATTCTTTTTTGCCTTTTTTCCCCTTTGGTTTTACCAGCTGCTGAACTCTTCCATTTCTCAAAGAAGTTTTGAGATGTCACCAATTTTCTCCGACACTTTTGTTATCAAGGGGAAGTAATATAGTTGTATGTATATTACCATTTATTTTCTTTGATGGTTTTGGGGTCCTTTAGTATATGTTGTTGTATTTTTGAGATTTTCGATGGTTGTTTCTTTTTTTCTTATTTTACGCCTAGTACTGAGCAGAGCAAGTTATGATTAGAGTGCACGTCAGCTCGATCTGATTCCTTACAATATTGTTCTGTGTGTGTTGGGGGGACGTCCATGTGTACAGTCTCCTGTATGGAAGATTGTACCAGGTATTTGTAATCACGAATTATTTTTCTTGGCAAAACTGTACAAGTCGTGTTCCTCTGATGTTACGTATTCCTAGGCCATGCTGTCCAGTGACATCTTCTGTTATTTCTCTGCCCACTTTTATATTCCAATCTCCCATAATTATAGTGATTTCGTGTTTTTTTTTGTCGCCTTGATTATGTCTTCAATTTGTTCATAGAACTCGACTTCTCCATTATCATGGTCAGTAGTAGGGGCATAGACCTGAATAATGTTCACATTTACAGGTCTCATCGCCAGCTGTAGTAGCATTACTCGGTCTGACAAGGGTACAAAGTTTCGTACTGATCTGCTGAAAGATTTATTAATAGTACTATAGCCACTCCGTTTCTATGAGATGCGTCTCTCGTTCCGGATGTAAAAATTGTATAATCTCCTGAGTCGAAATTGGTTGCATCCGGCCATCTTGTTTCACACACCCCTAGTATTTGTATGTGAATTCTTTGCATTTCCAACAGTAAGTTGTTCAATCTTCCCTCATCGTGAAGTGTTCGAACATGCCATGATCTTCTCATCCGTCGACCGTGTCGATTTCTATCACGAGGTTTTCGTAGGCTTACGACCTGAGAGGCCTCATGTTGTGAGTGTGTTTCTCCTCTCCTGCCGAATCTTGGTTTCCTTTTCCCATGGTTAGTAACATTTTGCAATTGAGGTGGCAATGTCATGGTGATTTTCCTGGGGAATCTTGAAGATCTTCAATACAGTGGTTTCCCATAGCCTTCTGTATCTTTATGCTGTTGCCCATTTTGTTGGTTCATCCGTCTGCGGGGTAAATTTCTTGATAAAATGTTTCACATGTCTGGAATAGGTCCACAAAGTGTTGTGGTCTCTTCAATGAGGAATTTAAGAAGTATGCAGTAGAGATAAAAAAAACAAACTTCAATGGCATTGTCAGAGTTCTGCGTAGCGGAAACATCTGTTGTAAAGGGCGATGATGACGTATGTGTTGATCTCGGCGATGAAAATGGAACGGTCAATATCAAAAATTTGGAAGCTCTTTTTAGCAAATATTTTACGCCATTTCATCAGGAGGTTGATGTTTAGCTCTGCTCGATTCAGCAAAGACTTGACTTGTTGGTTGCCGAAAATATGAGTCTGAAGGATAAAAATACGTTACTTAATATCAAGGTTAGCAAGCTTGAATCTGATGTGGCCTCTCTCAAGGTCCACCAGGTTTCAGTGATGCCTTCTGATGACTTGGAGGAATTTGTCTCAGAATTGAACGATCGACAGGCTAGGCTGAGAAATATTATGATTTTTGGATAGAAGGAGTTACAATCCCAGGAGACAAACG